CCCCATTCAACCACCCACCCAACCAATTTAAGGAGGTCCAGCGCCGTCCTTGATTCAGCTCACCAGTGTAAATGGTACTTTACTTTACTTTACTTTAAAGGTGTATGAATACTACCTCACGCCTCCCGAACCTCAAGAACGAACTCGCACTATGGAAACTTTACAAATGAGCGTGAGATCAACCACCACAGCTGATGGTTGTGATGTTTATGAAGCTTACGTTAGACCCAAAGATGTCAAACATAAATGGATACAGACTGAAGACTTCGAACAAGGTATAGAGAAATAATTTTCTCTAAATTGCGCTCCAACAAGGGCTACGGGTGCTACTACCCCCATTGCCCAAACAAGGGGGTAGCAGGTTGCCTGCCTTTTTTGCCAAAACTAATTTCGAAAGTCGTACGTGCGTTATTCACACGAAATGAAATGGAGCACTGTTTTTAAGCAGTTCAGCTCAAATTTAAATCTGAAATTTCTCGTTACTAAGATTCCAGTTTGATGCTGAAATAAATTCAAAAAGAAAGCCTTCCTGAATAACTGACAAGATCTCGTGTTTTTTTTTTACAATACATTACAGTCTTTAGCGTCATGCAACGAATAACAATATTGGCTACAAATAATCAAGTACCTGTATTTAACGAACATTGCTGCCCACAAAAATTAGGGCTCTGATGTCAGTGTCATTTATGGCTACCCCCGTCGCTTCGTGTTGCTTCTAACGTCTCAATACGCCCTATACTTTTTATTTTACTCTGTCGACTAACACCAGACAGAGTAAAATAACTATATTTTACTCGTGAAGAGAGAGCTCTGCCGTTCAATGGGTTAACTGGCCTATGTATCTGGTTAACCCATTGAGTCGCATTGCGCCCTACTTTATTATTTTACTCTGTCTAACGTCAGATTATTTTACTCGTGAAGGAGAGACCGCTGGCGCTCAATGGGTTGATCTTAATTTTTTGACAAGTTTTTAAACTCCTTGCGTCACGTCACTATCAAACAACGAATATTTGTCCCACTTGTATCCCACATTGCATTGCGTATACTTAATGTTTAGATGGATTGAAAATTGCGATACGTAAGCACTTTTAGAGCACTGATATCTAGAGCAGGGTTGCCAGTTTGGCGTTAAAAGAGCCAAATTTCTCGATTTTGGCTTCTTTTGACTTCGTTTGGCTACTAAAAATTTCGTTTGGCTTCTTTCTATTTTTTGGCTCTTTTTGGCTTCTTTTTGAATAAATACTGAAATAAGCAACTTTTCAAAAATAGTCTGCCATCCATCAGTAAAAGTTAGTTATAAACTCTGCTATGTTCGATTACATTATCCATTTATCCGGGATTCCGGATGTACGTAAATATTCGATCGGAATTAGTACCCTCTCCCTGGGTTACGCGGTTCGCCGCGAACGGCGGGAAAACGAAAATGATAAAATACTCGTTTTTTCTTTACTGTTTTTCGGTGTTGAACGCTTGAATTCGGAAGATTTACTCTAAATTTTGATTTTGGCTTCTTTTGGCCGGATTTGGCTACTTTTTACGTTGCATTTGGCTCTTTCGGGCTCAGACCACCTGGCAACCCTGATCTAGAGTCATTTTCAGCTGTTAGCTGCCAGATCCATATCCATCAACACTCAGACGATAAGTTGAGAACGCTACTTCCCAGTGCTATATCTCACAAATTCAGTCTAAGAAATAAACGCACTTATCCTATGTATAAGTGCAAAACTGAACGATATAAGAACAGTTTTATCCCAAAGTGTGTTAGAAACTGGGACCGACCATAGACATAACAAAATATTTTAAAGTACATATCATTAATATAGTTTATATTATAGTAGTTTTAAATTGAACTTTTTGCAAATTTAAAAATTTTAATACTATCTATGTAATATCACGTTTTTTAAATTTTTATTAATTTACAATGTGGTAATTATTAAAATCAATCAATCAATCATAAATTCAATTCAAATTCAATTCTGTTCAATATTGGAAATCAATCTTGAGTATCAGCTTTTAACATCCCCTTGCTGCAAACAAGCGGACAAGGTAACATGATTTATCACACACTTGTGCCTGTAGCAGGAGGGTAACAGGGTGACATAAAACGATATGTCACTGATATTGTTTTTTGTCACTAATATCTTTTTTGTCACTGATATCGCTTTTTGTCCCGCTATTCAGGGCTTGGAATAGCGCCGGGCTGCCAATGGCCAAAAGCAGGCCATATTTTAGAAATGGCAGGCAAAAACAAATTTGAACTGCATCCAAAGTAAAAAAATTGGCAAGTGAAAGTGTTTAGACTGGCAGGCCATATTTTTTCTCTACTTCGAGCCTTGCAACTATTTCAATAATTGTTGCATTGGGGCAATGATTTTAAAACATTGTAATAAATTCTGACCCTGTAGAAATGGCAGGCAAAAACAAATTTGAACTACCAAAGTAAAAAAAAATGGCAGGTGAAATTTTATCAGGTTTCACTTCATTTGCTTACCACAACTCATATATACTTGATCATTTAGTTGAATAAATAAGTTTATATTTGAAATGTAAATCCAAGTTTACTGTAGTAAAATAGACAAGGGTTAAAAGGGGGCATCATAGACATTTGGAGATAATAGGGAATCCAATGCCAAGCTCGCAGGGAAAGACGGTCACCCCCCACGCGCCCACTTCCTCTGCCTAGCCCGCGACTGCCCGCAAGCCAAACTTATAAAAAGAAAACAAACTCAAAGAAAGAAAACAAACTACAAAGCCTCTGCGGAGGAGAGTGATAGCGGGCTGCCAACAAAAGCAGGCCATATTTTAGAAATGGCAGGCAAAAACAAATTTGAACTGCCAAAGTAAAAAAAAATGGCAGGTGAAATTCTATCAGATTTTTTTTCTTTCATTTGCTTACCACAACTCATATACTAGATCATTTAGTTGGCTAAATACGTTAGTATATTTGAAATGTAAATCCAAGTTTACTGTAGTAAAATAGACAAGTTTAAAAACAACAAAAATACATCATGAAAACATTGATTTTTACAATATGACTCATATGAGACATCGCCATTCGGCAGTTCAATGAATAAAAATAGTAGGTAAAATTTCATTCATCTGCCAAAACATTTTAGACTGGCACGCCATATTTTTTCTCTACTTCGAGCCTTGCAGCTATTTCAATAATTGTTGCACTGGGGCAATGATTTTAAAACATTGTAATAAATTCTGACCCTGTATATAATAGACATTGCACGAACGCGGGACATTTATGATACCGTCCTGAAAAGCGATAAAACTGATATCGCCTCGTCCCGATTATGATAACCTATATTTATTTCTCATCCTTTTAGTAAACAGTAGTCTGATACACCCATCGCCAACGTTAAACGGGCATAACGGGAATACAGTGATAGAAAACGGGAATACAGTGATAGAAAACGGGAACGCTGTTGATAACAATGGTGGAATATTGACATCTGAGGTGAATCGAGGTGGTGAATCTGTTGTTACTGAGGGATACCTGCAGGATGATGAACGTGCACTTATGGCATCTGGTGTATATATTGGGTTATGTGAGGGTAAACTGGGATCCCCGATGTCTATGAGGAATGGAGGATTCAATCAGGATGACGAAGACGTTAAGGAACAAAACGGGTTCCATGTCGATACAGTGGAGTAAACAAGACTTTTAGGAAGCAGGTATATATGTCAATATTAAATATATGATGATTTGTTTTTTCTGATACAACACGGCTGCTCATGCTGTATAGCTATATTATGTTCATGAAGATTGTGAAAAAGTGTTTGTAAACATTCCTTTCAACAATTATGTTTCTAAATTATCTTCGGACGTTTACCTTGTTAACTGTTTTACTGTATAATTATATAAATTGATAAAACCCAGGGCTTTCAAAATTATTTTAAGTATAAGCGTCTGCAAGAATAGGCGACTGAAAGAATCATTTTACAAATATGGGATCAATCTGATCAATAGGTGATCAATTATCATCAAATATCATCAATTGGTAGTCAGTAAGCTTGTTTACTGCAGTATAAGAACGGATGAAATTCTTGTTGTTGGAAAGAAATGCGTCATTAAAAAGCTCTAAAACGTCAGGATTTTGATGAATGCATTCCATGGTCCCTATAGGAAAAAGCAAATAAATTTCTAACAAAATCACTCACTTAATTCTACTGTATTTGTAGCCTGTATTTTTGTTTTTAGATGGTAGTTATTGTCAAAAATCACTTATATATGTTTGTTCTAGCTATTCGCTTGGCAGTGGTTAAACGTTATAAAGTTAAACCATAGCCTATCGAAGGGAAGATGACTGTGAAACTCATTAGAATAACAATATAACTCATTATCTATGTTGGTCAACGTTTATTCATAAATCTGGTCCTT